CCGAACCCAGATGCCAAACCCTCTTGCACACCAGAGTTGTAAGCTTTAATTAAGGAGTTGTTGTAATTAGTTATAGCTTGCTTTTCTCCTGTAAACGATGCAACCTGAATTCGGAACACCAATCAGTTTTAGTTCTACACTAAGAAAATTGAAATTATAAAATTTTGTTTTAAAGATCTTAAAGACAAGTAGGCCTACTGTTCTGATTGAACCAATTGTCTGCTCTACCACAGTTGCTGCCACTGAATAAGCAGTTTGTCCACTGGATGCCATCTTTGATATAAGGATGGCCATGACGGCACCAGAGAGGACAAGAAGGGGGATAGAAGATAGCATGACAAGGGTGAGAAGCCATCCCTTAACAAATGCTATAACAAAGCCTCCTACGAATGTTGCAATTAACTGGACAAAAGTTCCTACCTGCAATAAGAAAATGAAAGAATAAGAGGTTACTGGAGAAAATAGCAACTGCTTAAGGCTTTTGTGTGTGGCATGTAAATACCTTCTCGCCCATGGCCTCTTGAATCAGCACAGTATCACCTGACATCCTCCCAACAATTTCCCCAGTGTTAATTTCTTTATCAAAAAAGCCAACATCTTGCCTCAGTATTGTTTTCAAGTATAAACTTCTTATTCGAGCAGCCTGTCTCTCTCCCGTGACCATCCAGCAAGACATCTCTGGCATGTAGAAAAAGCTACTAATCTCAGTTTCAAAAAAACCAAATTATTTGTTTGGTGCACCAGCAGGCAGTTCAGTGTACTTACGTAGAAATGCAGCTGCAGCAGCTCCCACTGCCAAGTAGACAAACTTTAGAGCCACCTGAGAATGTTGAATTGGCGAAATTATATGTTAGAGGAACCAGAGAACCAAAATAGATGTTAAAACAGAAGTAAGCTCACAGTTCTGATAGAACTGGATACCAGTTTATAGTCACAGAATATTTTGTTCTTTATTATTGCTGCTATTGCCTAGTTGACTTAATTTCTATGAAGATGTTACATTAACAGAGATAACTATCTACCAGTTTATAGTCACAGAATATTTACCTTGGAAACTGCATCAACCACGTCTTTATTATTCCCACTTTCTCCAAAGGAGTTAATCACATCTCCAAAGATTATGGTCATTAGAGGCATACAGAACCCATTTCCAATAGCGCTGATTGTACCAACAGACATTAACAGGTAATCCAAGGAATCAGCAAAGGAGAAAAGCTTGTGATATGGTACTGTTTTGGTGCCATCCTCCTTGCTCTTGCTTGTATCTTGTGGGTTGTTTTGAGAGTCCTCCACTACTGCTGAGTGGCCGTTTGATGCTGCCGTTCCCTGCTCCTTGATTACATTTCCATCCGCAGGATTTTCCTCAGCCATGTTTTTCACAGCAATAGTAAAGCTGCTATATTTTACAAGAAGCACCTCAGAGAAGTAAGTTGCTACTATATCTGACAGAGAACTTGATCAGAGCTGCAAGACAAAACATTTATGGTTTGGATTAGGAACTAGAATTTTTTTTTTTCTTTTGGGGAACTAAATTGACTATACAAACCAAGGAAAATTTGCCAACTGATTCTAATTGAATATGGAGTTGATTATTCGGCCAAACTTTAAAAATCCATTTGTTCCTATAATCTTGTTTTTGTGCGTGTGAACATTAGAAAACCCGTTACTGAAGCAAGTGGTACAGAATATGTACATGTTGATTCCAGAAGATGAAAATAGAAAATATGGGTTAAGAACACAGACAGGAAAGGGAAACAGAGGAACAAAAGAAGAAGTAATAACAAAAATACTAAGAAGCCTCACACGGCAGGAATGAAATGCAGGCCGTGGGAATGCTGAGAACAAAACTTCCCAAACACAATTTGAAACTAACTAAAACGAAACTAGGAATCAAACGAATGAGAAAAGAGAAAGAAACCAAGTGGGCAGCTAATGCATGCTCTAAAGTTGAGAAATTTAAATAGAAGAGACATAACCACAAACAGCTGAGATACAACTTCAAAAAGTGTTGCAGGAAACATTAATATCACCAAAAGATGAAGATACTCACTGAGGGGGAAACAAGTTTACAAACTTTCAGGAAATGGGTTGATGAAATTGTTTTACTTTCCCCCGAAAACATTGCTTTATAAGGCAGCACATCAGCCTACAGCCTACCAACTAGAAAGATAGTGTGGATACATGATTAGTCAAACGTTCAAACTATCCAGACTTTTCAAACTAAATTGAAAGACGTACAATTCTGGTCCTCTGCTCCTCTTCTTGGTGGCTTTGCTTAGGCAGGAAATAAAATGGGTTGCTTTGACATTAAGTTAAAGTTGAATTTGCAAAAGGCCCACTAATTTAGTGGTTTAGAGTATTTACTTCTTCAAACAAGGTCTCAGGTTCGAGTCCTAGCATCCGTGTAGTGTGTGTGAATTTAGCATATTATTGTCTCTTTCAATACAAAAGGTGCTCAAAAAGTTAAAGTTGAATTTGTCAGCTCAGATACTATGCTATACTACTTGCAATGCGAATCCATCTTTCTTTTGCAATTAAAGTTAAATATACCCTACTTTTTTTTTTCCAAAGTTAGGAAGGCGACGGGGTTTTCTTACATACACTGTCAATGTATCATGGGAGTTTGAACTTGAAACCACTAATATGCAAATCAAGGCAATTTTCCACTGAATTAGACCCCTTCATCACCTACCCTACCATCATATTGCTTTGATTTTAAATTTTTAAATTTTTTTTTTTTTTTTAAAAAGGTCCTGCAAAAACTTGAGACCAGTGGAAAGAAATCATTTTGGAGACGTAACAAGACATGTGACACATTGACTAGCACATTCTATATATCAATCTCTATAGTTGTTTGACACCAAAAATCTAATTGTTTGTCCTTCTTTTGTAATTATTTAACTTGTATGAAATGTAAGCAGATCACAACGTTAGGTAGAAGGTACCAATCCATTATGCTTTGCCCTTTAGATTAATCAGGGTCCACAGTCTATCTACATAACAGAATGAGTAAAATAAAAAGCTGGGATTGGAATTATGTTCATAATTTGGACAATTAATTCAGTTGTATTTTGTCAAGGAGGGGATATATGATTAGAATACATTGAAATGAAAACAAGGAATGGTAGCAAAACAAAAACTACTACGGATGGAAGTGTTTGTATATTATCGTTGACGAAAAATGCTCAAACTAAATATGTAGATAACTCGGCTGTGATATTATATTAGAACGTGAACATCAAACTCAAAATTATTAAACAAGGAATCCAAGATTTCCATTTCCAAAGTAGAATAATTAATCTTAATATGTGGTTTGATTCTTTCCCATTTTTCTTTTTTCTTTTAAAAAAATTAAAATTAAGAGTGATGCCCAAGTTTGTGCAATAGAAAGAACAATTCGAGCACCGCAATTTGGATGGTCCAATATGACTTTCGGAGGTTGACTATACTTTTATTATATCACGTGTAACTTGGAGTGTTGGGCAGGCATATCAGTACATGACAAGAAGTCAATCCTCTCGATTGCTTATCATTTTCTGGGAAGATGAGATGAGCTTGCATTTGGTAGAAAGTAGAAACAGAGAAAATGATGACAAGGTGATTATAATATTGTTAAGGATGCTTATGACTAATAATAGATTAATGGGTAATTAGTCTAATATGTTACAGTTATATATTCAGAAAAAGCAAAAAGACGTTTCTCATAGAATAATAATCTTCAAAAAAATTGGGAAATCTAGTGACAAACAGTCACTGCCTGAGCCTGACTGGTTCAGTTTGCAAAGGTCATGTTTTCTGGGAATCTCATCTGGTCAAGGGGTACGGAAAATTGCTTTTCACAATTGAAAAAAAAATGCAATTGCCATTGATTATTATGGACAGAATTCTTGATGGTCAAGGCTAAATAATCCTTCTGTGTTTTTTTTTCTTTTCTCCCAAGGAACAGATGAACTTATCTTGAAATCCCAAAAAAGGAAAAGTATCAGTTGCATGATCACATGAAACAGAAATGATGATGGCCCATAACCCTAAACCTAATTTATTTTTTTGACCTAAGGATGTTTATTCAAATTTTGTTTCTTGGAAAATACCTGGAAATAGCAAGAAAAGTAAGGGGGGACCCATCACCCGTGTTGGCTAAAGATTTTGGTTCTTTGCTTTACTAGACTCTTGAAGGAATTTCAAATTGAAGTAAGCTTAATGATCATTATTGGGACAGTATATTGAAAATTGTTAACTAACTTTGTTGAATAATCATCTCTTAGAGGAATTTTTTATTATTAATAACTTAGTTTTGATGGATTGGTAAACATGACTGTGTCCTAGAGCTGCAGCCTTTTGTGATTACTGACTCTAGTGATAATCAAGCAACAATTAGTTGCAAAAGTTTGAGTTTTCAAGGGGGGTTGGTTTTTATTGAAGAATATTCAATTTGAAGCAATTCCAAGTTGGTACGCGCAGGCAGAGTTGAATTTAATTATGAGATATTCAATTAAATTTTTATTTTATTTTTTATACAAGTGATATTTGAGAAAGAAAATCGAACTTACGACCTCCAATGCCACTTAAGCTACGAGCACTTACATATTTGATTGAGGTTGAGTTTAAATATATGTGATGGGCGACAAGTGAATTGAGCAAGATATATGATGGGCCAATTAAGAAGAAAAGGAAGGCCAAATATTCATTAGCACAGAAGGCCTTATTTATGGTTACATAACGTGAGCATGGGCTATTTATTGGTAAGTGATTTACTTTTTTTTTTGGTGAAAACCAAGGTATCCCCCGCACGATTACGGGGACTAACCCTCGAGGTACTGTCGGGCGCAAAGCGGGGACCTCTCCCAACAAAGTCTGCTCTATTCGCAAGCGCCTGGGATCGAACCCAGGACCTCTTGTTTAAAGGATCCAAAGTAAGTGATTTACTTCCTATCCATTTGAAAATGGATAATTTGATAAAATCATGAGTGTTGTTATTTTCACCCACTATTTTACTTTTTTCACTCACCTTATGTTTTTACATTCCATTCAATTTTTACTCACAATCGTTCCTAAAATGCCCCCAATATTTTGAACAAATTGACATTAATCTCATAGTCCGATCCATTTGACAATGGGCAATTTGATGAAATCATAAGAGTGATCCTATTTCCATGCTATATATAACTAAACTATTGCACCACTAAATTTTCTCACTAACATGGTCATTGTTATTATAAAATTTTATGAAAGCTCACTCATTTTTTAAGAGATTTTCTATTTAAACCCTGCACTTCTCTTTGTTCACCCCAATACTTAAATCATTAAGCTGTAAGTTTTATGATTGTGTAAAAAGACAAAAAAGGTCATCCAACTTAATAATTAACCCTAGTACATCTATACACAAACCCCACACCCCACACACCTCACCACTCTTCATATCAAGTTTTAGAAAAATATAAACTCCTCTACATCCTATTGCCAGATTATTCTTCTCTTTTAAAGATATAGAAAATTGACGAGCCTACCTCTTTAAATATGCGTGGGAGTTGATGGAAAAGCTTGCTGATTATCAACTCAACAATACCCAAGTGTTGGAATTCCAGTTACAATTCTTGGAGAGAGGTAAAGTTGTTCTCTTTCTCTAGAAAGTATTAAATTTCGAGTTTAGGGTTCTTTTTTTTTTTTTTTTTGTTGAGAACAAAGAAAATTGTGGGGTTTAAATAGAAAATCTATTTTATTTCTTATTTTTTCAGTTTGGGGTGTATTTAATGGTAGTTTGGGAAGATAGTGGGGTTTTCTTAGAAATTGTGAAAATTTAAATTAAAAGATGGGGTGAACTTAGAACATGAGGTGAACTAAGAGAAGTGTGAGGTTTAAATAGAAAATCTCTTTTTTAATACAAGCAAAATTAAGGACGGGGAAATCGAATGTGAAACCTCAAATATAGGGATAACAAAAGTTCACTCATTTTAGATATACGGCCACATGACATAAATATTTTTTTGAAAACGTAGACATGTTTGCATAATTTTAGTAAGGTTAAGAAAGTTATGGTTAAATCTAAGAAAATAAAGTTGACCCGAGAATAATTTGTCCCCAAAAAATTGGAAAAATGTACCAAAACAAAGCCGAAAAGCGCTTGACCTTATCATCATCACCATGGTTGCAACTTGCAAAGACCGATAGAACAAACTCCAAAGAGAGCAGCAGTCACAGCAGCTGAGCGACAAACCAATCAATCTCATCCACGAAAACAGAAAAGCAAACCTTCACTTTCAGTGGTGCCTTTCCTGCCGTTGAATGAGACTGAACCAAAAACTCTCCTCAGATATTTTGAGACTCCACTCTTCTTCTTCTACTTCTGCTTCTTCTCTCGCGCTCTGCAAACACCCAACATTCATCTTCAAATAGGAGAGAGAGAGAGATTGATAGATATGTATACAACTGAGGCATTTGGGAATTTCTCAGTGTTTAGAGAGACTTCCGTTTCAATGGCGGCCACCAACTATCTCAGAAGTCCAGTTCGAATCCGACCCATGTCCCGTAGCATTCTTAGTAGCAAGAATTTACTCTGGAATCATGGAATGAAGTGCCAGTGCAGCAGCAGCAGCAGCACTAGCAGTAGCGGCGTTGATGAGAAGTCAGTGTTTTCACTCACCTCGTCAAGCAAGTACGAAGTTGATTATTTGGGAGAGAAAACCAAAGGAGATTTGAATGTCAAGGTGGAGCATCTTGAGGCCTTTGGTAACTTTCTTTCCTCTCCAATGCTCTATTTCGTTCTTTCAGTTTTGAAACTACAACCTTATAAATATATGTGTGTGTGTAAAGTTTTGTTCTTTTCAATGAACCCATGTAGGAATTGATAGTCAAGCAACTTTAAAAGGTCCAATTGAGGAAGTGGCCAGGGTTGAGGCTGAAGAAGCTGAAGACTTGCTCAGAGACTTGGGTATCCCGGTGCTGTTTTTTAATTCCTTTTCCTGCATACATTTGGTCCTATATATGCATTACCTTATCTCTTTGCTTTCTTATCTTTTTTGTTAATATATGGTTCTCTTGAATCTTGAACCAATGGATATCCCTCTTATCATTTGCTTATGGTACTACCATGTTCAATATTTATGTGCAGACTCCTTTTTCATCAAGACAATCACCTCGCGGCATTTTTTGTAGCCGCACATTGAATCTTCGATCAATCAGTGCCATTGGATATGATATGGACTACACCTTGATGCATTATAATGTGATTGTAAGTGTCATCAGCTTAATATATGTTCTTATTCTCAGCATTAGTTGGCGCGTCAGCTTTGATGCAACATCAAGATCATATAGTTTTGCATGTGCAAGTGACTAGTGTTGCAACCTCAATGCATTAGTAACCGTTACTATTCTGGCTATTGTGTGACATGGATTTGTATTTTGCAGGCTTGGGAAGGGAGAGCTTATGATTACTGTATGGAGAATTTGAAGAAAGTGGGTTTCCCTGTTGATGGTCTTGCATTTGACCCTGACTTGGTAGCATCTATAAGCAAGTTAAAAGGTTTTTGAGTATTTACATAAGCAAGCCATAAGATCTAATTTTCGTTTTTCCTTCCTACCTTTGTTCCATCCTTTCCCATAGGTTATTAGAGGCCTTGTCATAGACAAAGAGAAAGGCAACTTAGTGAAGCCTGATCGATTTGGTTATGTAAAGAGGGCTATGCATGGCACAAAGATGCTATCTAATCGAGCTGTAAGGTACACTATGAAGCTTTTATTTTGGTTAGTCTCATAGTGCAAATGCAAAGCAGGCATTCAGTGTGCTGTTAAAACTTAGCAATAAGACTTCCTATGAAAGTTCCTATTATCAGATTTATTACTCTGGTCTTCCCTTGTATTATAACTTTGTGTATGTAGCGCTTAGGTTCTTCCAACATTTTGCACTTTAGCATATCATTTTTGGGAAAAGATGGAATCGTATATTCTATAGTGTGGCTTAACTTTTTACTCATTGAAGTGAGATGTACGGGAGGGAACTGGTGGACCTCCGGAAGGAAAGTCGATGGGAATTCCTTAATACACTGTTCTCCGTCTCAGAAGCTGTCGCTTATATGCAGGTACTGTTTTGTCTTAGCTAGAGCACTTTTTTAACTTCTGACTCATTTTATTGCTATTATTTTTGTGGATTTAGTTTATTCGTATGCAGACATTGACTTGTGATTCTTTTCAGATGGTTGACAGATTGGATGATGGAACCATAGCAGCACAACTTGGTCCACTTGATTATAAAGGGCTCTATAAGGCAATATGTTGTGCCTCAATTTTATAGAGCCTGGTATTGGTTTTTTCTTGCTCCTTTTTAACTATTGACATGATTTCAGGCTGTTGGAAGAGCCCTCTTCAGGGCACATGTAGAGGGTCAACTAAAGGTTAATATATTTATGATTTGTGTATTAGATATGTAAGAATTGGTTCATGAGCATGAACTGATTGTGGTATATATGCAGAGTGAGATAATGTCTAAGCCTGAACTATTTGTGACACCTGATCCAGAATTACCCCTAGCACTTTTGGATCAAAAGGAGGTACGTCTTATAGAAATTTATCTTTCAGTAGCGTGTGACATCATTTACCTCCTTATTTACTTTGACCTATTCGTGCATTAGGCTGGTAAAAAGCTTCTGCTCATTACCAACTCAGATTATCATTACACAGACAAAATGATGCAGCATTCCTTCAACAGATTTCTTCCCAATGATATGGGTTGGCGGGATTTATTTGACATTGTAAGTAAATGTCATTTGTATACTTATAACTTCGTGCCACATTGAATAGTAATTATTTTACAGGACCTCTGCTATAAAAGTCTCAGGATCATTCTTTCCTGTGTGATGCTTAAACTAGCAGCATAATTTTATCACAGACCAGTGTTTTTTTTTTGTTTTTTTGTTTTTTTTTTGTTTTGTGTGTGTTTAACAATCAAAGATTGCCTTGAAACTTAATGATCATTAGAATTGTGATCGCATTAACAGCAGTGAGTCATGTTTTTTTGGTCTATTACGCTCCTTTTCAGGTAATAGTCTCCGCAAGGAAGCCAGAGTTCTTCCAAATGTCACACCCTATGTATGAGGTGGTGACAGGAGAGGGGCTCATGCGTCCATGCTTCAAGGCTAAAACAGGTGATGAAGACTAATGTTCAGTACTTGTGCTTGTTTAGCCCTGAAATTCTTTTATTTTTAAGGCAAAATACATTGAAGTTGTTAATTTCATGTGCTCTGTGGTTGCACTTGCTTTGAATGTCACTTGGTTGCACATTAGCTAAATAATCATGTTTGATAAATGATTGTTATTGTGACATTAATTAACTAAATGACTAAGTTGTTAAGTTGGTCAAATCTCTGCTGTTTTTGTTCTCAGTCAACATCATTTTTACATGTCAATATATTAAATTCCTCTGAGCTTTGCAAGGATCATATTTTTGATAATTCTTTACTTTGTTGGCATTGGTTTTATTTAATGATCTCATGCTCATTCAAATTCTTTTTCTTGCAGGGGGATTGTATTCTGGGGGAAGTGCTCAGATGGTTGAGAATTCCCTAAATATTCATGGAGACGAAATACTGTATGTTGGTGATCATATCTACACTGATGTTAGTCAATCTAAAGTTCATCAGCGATGGCGGACAGCATTGATTTGTCGAGAATTGGAAGAAGAGGTTTGTGTAGTTGATTTTCTCTTTGCATGCAAGAGCACAGAAGAGAAAGTGCAATTAACATGTTTCTGGAAGTTGAGATCTCACTATCATTGAAGAATTGAAAATTTTGGCATGATTAATAATATACTGACTGGAAAAAACACTTTGAGACAACAAATGGAACCCAAAGAACCTGCTTGCCTGTTTCCTTATATAAATATTCTATTGTTCCACAGACAGAACACCTATGGACTATATAATTTTTAATTTGGTGTCCTAGTAATTGAGAGATTTAATATCATTGAACTGTTAAATGCTGATTAGGTCTCCGTTTGTTTCGTGAAATTTTGAGGCTGCAGTTTAGTGCTTTGATTCATAGCCGGGGTCATAGAGCATCACTGGTAGAGCTTATAAATCAAAAGGAGGTCGTAGGGGATCTTTTCAACCAACTTCGGCTCGCCTCACAAAGGCGAACTAAAGGACGCCCTGCTCAAGTAAGCTTTATCCATCACTGAATTCTTGTAATGTATAGTGATAATATCTCAATATAATTTTCATATCTCCTCTTTTTTATGCTTGTATCTGTATCCTTGAGCATTAAACAATTACTGCTTTAATTAACAAATATTGTCTACTCACCGTTGCATGTATTTGAGTAAAAAAATAAAAATCATGATGATCTGGTTATCATTTGAACATTTCTATACTAATAGATAAGTGCAACTCTTAAGTCTGGTGTTGCCTCTGAACTGAATCCATGCTACATTTTCTTTTTCCCATTAAGCATCACCACTCAGCAAACAGTATGAACTCCTAACCAAGAGTGTGGACCAAGAGATGATAGAACTGGAAAAATAAAAAAAGAAATGGTTTATATAATGTAGTGCTTCTTAATTTTATCTGAGCTTTTCTGCACTTTCAGACCCTTGCTGCAACAAACTTGGATGATCATGAACTCTCAGAAAGCATGCAAAAGCTACTTATAGTTATGCAAAGACTGGACCAGAAAATTGCTCCAATGCTAGAAGCAGATGGAGAGCTCTTCAACAAAAGGTAAGATGGGGTTAGGAAACATACGGAATTGATTTTTTTTTATTACTAGCGTATATCTGTGGAAAATGTTTCATTCATAAATATACAGTTGACCTTGTGAACCTGCTGTGCAGTAGGTGGGGATTTCTTTCCCGTGCAGGGTTCTGGGATAAAAGCCATCTGATGAGACAAATTGAGAAGTATGTTCTTTTTTTCCGACAGTTCATATTTCATTCATCACAGGACTCTGGTTCACGTCTGACAGAAATAAAAATTTATATTTTGAGTTTCCTTAACAATGATTCTCTCAATTCTTTTTCATCTTACAGGTATGCCGATATCTATACCTCCAGGGTGTCAAATTTCTTGCATTATACACCTTTCATGTATTTCCGCTCACAGGAACAGGTAACTACTAAACACCAAAGCTTAAATTGTTAAGGAATGCCAACATTGTCATCTTCACGCGCAACCCTGCACATTGAAAGGCTGACCGTGTAAATTACCAAATGAGTAGAGAATGAGGATTTGAGATTTCGAACTTAGGACCTCTTGTAACCAAAACTCTAATACAGTGAGGTAACAATGTGAAAAAGAGAACAAGACTACAATATAAATGAACATGCAAATAAGCAAGCAATACATGACTATTTTACAACCCTCAACCTTTTGAAAGAGCACTTATATGCCTTATGCCTTTTACCACTGCAGACGCTTGCTCATGATTCGTACTCATACTACTGTTCGAGGTTTAATGGGTCTGCTGTGGATGACGAGGTCGACTTTATGTTGTAGAAGTGCATTTTTGGCTGTAAATATTGCTCAAGTTGACCATGCTAATTATTGTAGCATCTTGACTCCATTGTTGTTCTGTATGAATGATCCAGGCACTTTACAATTTTCAAGGTTATAAACTAATAATGAATAATAATGTTTGATTACTAATTAGTAATCAGTGCTTATCCAATGATCAGTGGATTGTTTATGCCAGACAGATTAACAATATGAGGTTATTTTCATCCATTAATACTGAACCCGTGACATAGTATTTTACCCCTACGTTGCTAGAATTCAAAGTGCCGATTATAGGGAAATATGTATGCGCATGCGAGCTATGAGAGGCCAGTCAAGTCAGTAATTGGCCTCTCACAGTTAGGAGGCACTTGGAATGCTTTGCATGTATAAAGCATTTCTTTTCTAATAAAAATACATCTAGAAACTATACACAGCGACTTTGTTTTGGGAATTTCAAATTAGATACACAAACGGCAGAACTGCTAAATATGGGAACTATCCCATTAGAAAGCACTGTCGTTTCCAGACTTTGGACGACTCGTCGTTCATACCTTTGTTAAAGCAAAATCAAAAGGGTTTAAAGAAGAAGCAGAAGCAGCAGAAGAAGCTAAAAAGAGCAAGCAATCTGGAAATGGAGATGAAGAAGCTGCGATGGGCAATGGACGGAAGCTTTTGGGACCTTGACATGTCGACTCCGAGGACCCTTGACGGACTGGCCCGACCCATTCCCGGCGACCCACTTCCTCTGGGTCTGACCCGAGGCGCCAGGCTCTCCAGGCCCAAGCAAATTGACTTCATGCAGCGTTTCATGACTACCCCTTTTGTCCCTTCCTACGCCGCCGCCAATGGCTTCAATCTTCAGCGAGTCCTCACCATACCCATTAGCGACAATTGGTACCCGCCACCAAAATCCACTTCAATTCCTTTTTGCTTTTTCATCTTCACCGTTTTTCTTTATGTGGGTTCAAGTTGAATCAGTAATTCTTGAATTGAAAAGCTCTGTAGGTTTGGGACGTTACTGGGCCAGTTCAATTTGCAGAGGTTCGTATCCTCTGTTAAGAAAAGTGGGAAGACAACACCCCCAGACTCTGCATCTTCATGGATGCAAAGCATTGGAACCCACCTGCGTGATAAGTCCTTGTATGCCCTTTCTTTCTGTTCTGACTTCTTGTTGACACCTGACGACACATTGGTGTTTAGTGTGGAGGCTTATGGTGATGACAAGAAAGCTCGAAAGAAGGCACTTTTTCAGCACAAGGTGTGTTTGTGTTTACCCAAGGGTCAATTTTGTGCTTCTTCTGGCTGGATTTACTGATAAAGCTTTGGTTGTTGTGTAAATTTCAGTTTCCTCATCACAATTTGACAGTGGAGGCAGTTTGGCCCGGGCTTTTTGTTGACAAGCCTGGTAATTATTGGGATGTGCCATTCTCAATGTCACTTGATCTGGCTTCGGTTGCTTCTGACTCCGGGGCCAGTTATCATATATGTGCCCATCATAATTCAGGTTCACCGGAGCGCCTTGACAGTGGTCAGAGCGATGGAGTTCCTGCTAGTCTGCTTCCTGGTTTGTCTGTCACAAGTGCTTTTTCTTTTAAGAAGAACATTGAGCTTTGGAGAAGTAACGCTCAGAAGTTGAGAATGGTGCAACCATATGATATATTCCTTTCAAATCCTCATGTTTCAGCTTCGGGGATTATTGGTAAGAGACTGCCTTTTTTTATTGCTGAATTATACTGGTAGATGATAGGAGAGGGGCAAGAGGGTGAGGTTTACTATAAGAATTATTTAGACATCCTTTTGCTTATATGAAAGAGATGTTTTCTGGGTAAAGAAAAGAAGCCATCAGGCGGTGGCATTAATGATTTACAACGTTTGCCCAAAATTGGGATCAAGTAGCTCTGTGCCCTTTGTAGCATAAATTTTCTGATGTTCATAACTTTTTTGTGTACTGTGTTTTAGCTTAGCCAACCCCTGATAGTTGGGAATCAAGTGAGTTGAGTGGAGTAGTTGTTGTCTTAGCATCTTGGCCATTGTCTTATACATGTACAACTCTTACTAATTGATAATTCAAATTCGGTCATACACAGGTGCTGCTATGACTGCCTCGTTTGGTGATAGTTCGGTTAGGTCACAAATCGCAGATGATGATCCTGAGGGTTTTAGAGGCTTTAGTATTCGGGCTCCTGAAGTAAAATCTGCCTTTCTAGCAGATATATTTGCATCTGCATCATTTACAGCCCAGCATGGAAACTTCCAAAGGCTATTCCTAGATCTTACTCGCTTTCATGCCCGTTTGGATTTTCCTTCTGGTTCTAAATTTCTTTCAGGTGCTACACATCTAGCACAAGATTTTTTCAATTCTCAACAGCCAAATTTGGAAGCTATCCAGGACATTTGCCCCAATGCCACACTTTCTCTTCAGCAGCAGGTATCTATATTTCTTTTATATTAATTATATTTTCCCTCTTGGAAAAAATATTTCCCAGAATTCAAGTGTGATTTCAGAATGAGAGAAACATTAAGGTTATAAGTTAAACTTGTTCTTGTAATGGATATTCCTGTGTTGATCTTGGGCTGCACCTTTGTAGTAACTGGGTTTCAAAGCAGTCCAGGTTATGGTCGTTTCTTACATAGCTGTTGAATCCGAATGACGTTGAAATGAATGTTGACTTTGAATTGCCACTGCAATTTCTTGCAGATTGCTGGACCTTTCAGTTTCAGGGTCGATTCAGGAGTTGCAGTCGAACTAAAGGACCAAGACTGGAACATACGTGTGGACAAGCCCGTATTTGCCCTTGAATATGCACTGCAAGTCCTTGGTTCAGCCAAAGCCGTTGCTTGGTATTCGCCAAAGCACCAAGAATGCATGATAGAGCTTCGTTTTTACGAGACATAAAACCATGTGCTCTTGACTCTTGATAGGGTTATATTGTCGGGTCATTTTGAGGGAGATTCTCCCATTAATGCAAAAAAAAAAAAACAAAAAAAAAAATCATTCGCCATTTGTAAAGTGGTGTATTATTGGAGAATTTTATTTTTGATGAATGCCATTGTAGTTCTGGTAACTGAAACTCTCTTTGTGCTTCAACATTATACTAACTTCTGAAAATTGGATAGATTTAAAAAAAGAAAAATATTGATGATGCAATAAATACACAAGTAATTTTAACAGATCCAAAGGCAACAACTTTTAAATTTAAACAGAGATTGAAATCCCCTGGTCACACCATTTCTTGAATACCCATGTTATTGGTTCTTTGTTTATTGTTTTGGTACAAATGAATTCGTAAATTCTTAGTAGAATGGAAGCTTACACGAGCCTATAGTATAATGCCTACCAAAACTGGTCGTGGAGCAACCAGATGGAAGCCTTAGATGCTCCTCGTTATACTTGACTGTCACAAGACTAAGCCCGTGAGGTGGAGCAAACATGGCATATTTAGCAAGTTCCCTGCGATCTCGTGTTGCCAATATCATGGGAACAATATAAGGAGGAAGTGCTTCCCTTCCAATTTGAAGCAGCAGAGAGACCTGCACAAGTGTTTCACAGAAAATGCTTATACTACCATTTGATGAAATGCACTGCGTAGTACTAAAAAGAAAATAACTTTTGATGAAAATGGTTAAGGTTGTGAATGCTTCACCATGTTCCGGACTTGTCGATATAAGAAACCCGAGCCTTCAACTTCTAGTTGTAAAAGAGCCCCCTAGACAAGGATTTGAATGAAGAATCAGTAATGAATCATACATTTCTCACAACAAAAACTTATAAACATGGATGCACTTCATGGAATGACTTATCAATCCATCAACAGCCAATGAAGAGCAACCTAAAATTCAACTGCTGTTGAAGAAATCTTGTTGTGGGGTTTGAAGTATTACCATTTCAATGACATCAAAACGGAATATATTCTTTACTGGATCTCGCACTCGTTCTTTCTGGGAGGCATTGGCAAAAGCAGAGAAATCATGCTTTCCAATAAAATACTTTGCAGCTTCTTTCATAGCAGCGGGGTTTAGCTTATGAGCACTATGGTAAGCATAGTGACGCTGAAAAGGGTCCATGAATGTGTCATTATATATTTTGTAATGATAAATTTTGCTTTCCGCTGAAAAACGAGCATGGAATTCGGGCACTGCAGGGCTGATCTCCCTCACTCGAATATCAGAAGGAAGAAGACCGTTGAGAGCTGCATGAATGCTATCTATGCTGTCATAGTTGAAAGGTGTGACAAAGTGTGCAACCTGAAAGCTAAACTGAAAGTAAGTCTTTGATATGTTGGTGGATTTGCTTGTTGTGTTTAATCTTGATGAGAGTAAGAAAGAAAATCAGACCTGACCCCAAGCATGTACTCCCTTATCTGTCCTACTTGCACCAACCAAACTAAGATCCTTCCTTTCCAGCTTTGTTGCTTGCATTAAAACTTTCTCCACAAAGCACTGTATTGTAGGTGGTGAACTCTGGTATTGCCATCCTGCTAATTCATGGAAGTGTTGGAGATGATTGATGCAGAAAGTTGAAGCTTAATATCAAATTGGGATTTTGAAATGGGCATCTGAAATATCTCAAAATTGACAGAAAATAACCACCTTCATGCCTATAAGATGCCCAATTTGGAAACTTGCCATATCAACTAGAAAAATTACACAGACAAAGTTGGAGAAGTTGAAGGAAATTCAATCATACATGGGGGCATTATGTCAAATATCATTGAAGCACATTTCCATTTCCAAGCAGAGCTATTTTCATCAGAACTCAAAAGAAGAAAAATAAGGTCATCACTTTCCTCTAAATTATCAAGTGGGTTGTCACTGGTGAATTAAGAATTGAATTCTAACTTGAAATCAAACATAATAATTAGCAAAACCCATGACTGGAAAAAGCTTAGAAAGCAAAGCACATCAAAATTCACATAATAGGAGGCAAAGCTCAATGCTTTAATGGAAGAAAGAGAACAATAACCTGCATAGCGGGTGCCGTCATAAGCAATAACCAAACGCCACTTATACCCTCCAACCCCAGTGTGGTTCATTACCAAGTGGTCTCCATCTTTTGTGTTCTGCTAAATTATCCATTTTTGTTATCGCCAGTTCACAATTATCATAATCACAGAGAGAGAGAGAGAGAGAGAGAGAGTGACTTTATTAATCATTACCGAAGTATTAGTGGGAGTTGGAGAAGAAAGAGTCCCGTTAAGATTTGGAGGGGAAGGAAGGCCTACAACTACATTGCTACACATCTTCTCAGCTCTCCATTCAAAACCCGCAATGTCACAAACGCTCGTTTTGCCAAATGACTCAAAGCAGATGCAAGGATAAGGGTTTAATGAAAACGAAAATAAATCTCCAGCCATCGAAGAAGTCAAAAGCAAAGAAGATGTAAGATGAACGGTTTAAAAAGGCGGACGCACCATTAGTTATCCTACATTCGAAGGCAATCAATCTCAAGGCTAATTGCCGGCAGTAAAGGCATCCAACAGATTTACCAGAGGAATTCTTCTCAATCTATACAGGACCTGCACCTCGGGTAGATGAGTAACTACTCCTAACTAATTGAACTACAAGCCTTTTACTCAATATGCTTGTGTGAACTATAACAATGACCGTAGAACCCGCTCTATAATACCATCAAGTGCTCGTGCGCAACTAAACTTAACATGCAACTTGTACACACCAACATTCCATCTTTGGCTTTGATTTGACCAGAAAATTCCTAGCTTCATCATCCCTAAGGGGCCGTTTGGTTCATGGGAAAGGAGGCATAGGAATGGGAATTCAATTGCTTTCCCATGTTTGGTAAGTCCGGGAATGGGAAACGGATTCCTGGCACATGGGAAAGTAGGGGGGAAAGTGATGCCCCCCTCTTAACTTGGGTTTTGCTTTCCCTCCTCATAGGAAAGTTTGGGAAAATGTGCCAACATTCAATGCACAATTTTCATGACTATTTTGTCCCTATGAACAATTTATAATTACAACGTATCATTAAATGCATTCTTTTTTTATTTGATTTAATATGGGTATAATTGGAAAATTATACAAATTTTGTTTTCCATTCTTCTCAAAACAAACATGGGAAAGGAAACAAAGTGAAATCTCCCGATTACTTTCCCAACATTACCAAACATGGGAAAGGAATCTTTCATTCCCATTCCTTGGGAAATGACATGGGAATTAATTTCCCCTCAAATCCATTCCGTGAACCAAACGGGGCCTTAGGTTCTTACAAACCTTTTCTTTTGGATCAATAAGACAACTTTAATTAACTAGCTAGTCATATCCTCATTATTAATTTTACACAAATGAAAAACTTGATCAAAGTTTAGTCTAAATCATGCATAATGTACAACATCTTCTTCCAAGGTGGCAAATTACTAAAGTACCATTGGAGCAGGAGGTATGTACACTGTACATGACTAATTTTAACAGAATATTTATGAAACACGTGTAATTGGAGGATTGGAGGACCGGAACAGTGTGCTGAAACACTGTGCGGATTAGAAAACAGTGAAACATCGTTTGTCCAATTAGGTGAGACCCACGTTGATTAATGTGGGCCCACGGCATCTGATTGGGAAAGGAGATCATCTAAAGTACCACGTACCAATATAATCATACCTCATTGGTTCAATAATCACCGTCCAGTTCTAAGGATTTATTGAGACAAAAAACAAAAACTTTAAACTTCAGCCATTCAACAAGTCCAAACCAAAGAAGCCGCAACATCTACGGTTCAAAATTCGTGGGCTCACCGTAGCAAATATAGACACGGATGCAGTGAAGTAGACTGGTAAAGTCATTACACGGTTCGCTCCATCTCTTTCTGTGTATGTGCACGTTTCGGAGCGGGCAAGCACCTTCCGCTCTCTCTCTCTCTCTCTCTCTCCTGTTTTCGGAAAAGTAAACGAACTGTAGGCGTCTTATAGGTTTACCAGAGGAATTCATCTCAGTCTGGCTTGAAGGTTCGATTTTTATTATCCATGCAATCTAGGGTTCCTATCTCTTTGAATTTTCTGGTTGGGTTTTTCATATTAGGGTTCTTGTTCCTCTGTCTCATTTATTTATTTATTCACAGTTAAAAATATTTGTCTTTTTTCTTTTAAATTTGATTATAGGCTCTGTTTGTTGTACTTGTTTTGATTTGGGATTTGGGGTTATTATGGGTTCCGCACCTTTTCCTGTGGGATTTGTGACTTTAGTAACGTCTGCACATGGAAAATTTCATGTTGTTCTCCCAAATAAGACATTGGGTTTGTGTAATTTCAGCATTAGGGTATAGATATGGGCAAAAGTTTCAAACTTTAGGGTTATTATTGTGAATGTACTTCGAAGCTTAGTCTCATCAACTGTGAAATTCAACCTGCTAATGTGAACTTGGCTTCAAAAAATGGGATTTAGTCTCTTATCAACTGTGAAATTCAACCTTCTGTAAACTTGGCTTCGAACAAATTTGTTATTTCCATTATGACTTCTTGTGTATGAACTTATAAAAAAAAATATATCCTTTTTGGGTGGGTAGGCCATGGCTGCAAAGAAGGTTATAGCAATATGCCAATCAGGTGGAGAATTTGTGACGAATAAGGATGGAAGTTTATCGTACACTGGGGGTGAGGCCTATGCGATTGACATTGATCAACAAACACTGCTTGGTGATTTAAAGTCCGAAATAGCTGATATGTTTAATTGTAGTGCTGAAACAATGTCCATCAAGTATTTCCTTCCGGGCAATAAGAAGACTCTCATTACAATCTCTAAAGATAAGGACTTGCAACGCATGGTCAATTTCCTTGGGGATACAGCCACTGTCGATGTTTTTGTCATGTCAGAGGAAGCCGCTGCTCGAAATGTGTCGAACATGCCTGCTAGTAGGTACTTTTTATTTTGTTAATCTTATTTCTTGCTGATTTGATACCCACTTGTGTGTTTGTTTCCCTGGATGCATAACCTTTTATGGTTCGGTTTGGGTCACAATTGCAGCAATCACAATGTGGAACAGAGGCCATGGAAATGTGCTTATACCTCCATTGTTATCTTGCACAGAGTGTTACACGTGCATGCCTCTTTTTATTCTGTTGTGTAATTATATAGTACTGTGCTTGTGTGCCAAAAATAAGCATTTAATAGAAGTGTCACCCTACATGTGTTTTGCATAAAAATCTCATCAGGAAATATTACCCTACATGTGTTGGACATGCAGGTCGAGCAGGACAACTGTGTCAGAAGCGGTGGTTCCTATTGTTGAGCCTATTGATGTGCGAGTTGATACTTGCAATGCCATTGACCAAATTGATATGGAACTCCATGAAACCCCTTTGGTTTCTGTTCTTGGTTCTTCTAGTGATGATAAGCATCATAAAGCTGCACAACAGTGGGAAAATACCATCACTGGTGTGGACCAAAGGTTTAATAGTTTTAGTGAATTCCGAGAAGCATTGCATAAGTTTTCAATTGCACATGGCTTCGCGTATAGGTACAAGAAAAATGACAGTCATCGTGTTACTGTCAAATGCAAATCTCAAGGTTGCCCATGGAGGATATATGCATCCAGGTTGTCTACTACCCAGTTGATTTGTATCAAAAAAATGAACACAGATCATACATGTGAAGGAGCTGCTGTGAAAGCTGGGTATCGGGCAACTAGAGGTTGGGTGGGAAGTATCATAAAGGAGAAGTTGAAAGTTTCCCCAAACTACAAGCCAAAGGATATAGCAGACGACATTAAGCGAGAATATGGGATTCAATTGAACTATTCTCAGGCATGGCGTGCCAAAGAGATTGCCAGGGAGCAGCTTCAAGGCTCCTATAAAGAGGCCTATAATCAGTTGCCGTATTTCTGCGAGAGGATAAAGGAAACTAATCCAGGGAGTGTTGCTGCATTTACCACTAAGGAGGACTCAAGCTTCCATCGCTTCTTCGTATCTTTCCATGCATCAATTGTGGGTTTCCGAGAAGGTTGCCGCCCTCTCATTTTTCTTGATAGCACTCCTCTGAACTCAAAATATCAAGGAGTTTTGTTGGCCGCAATAGCAGCAGACGGTGATGATGGTATCTTTCCGGTAGCATTTGCTGTTGTGGATGCTGAGACTGATGATAACTGGCATTGGTTCTTATTAGAACTGAAATCTGCAGTGTCAATATCTCAGCAGATTACATTTGTTGCAGATGTTCAGAATGGTTTGAAAAAGTCATTGACTGAGGTATTTGATAAATGCTACCACTGCTATTGTTTGAGGCATCTTGCTGAAAAACTCAACAAGGACTTGAAGGGGCAATTTTCTCATGAGGCAAGACGATTTATGATCAACGATTTTTATGCTGCTGCTTATGCACCCAAACTGGAGGCTTTCCAGCGTAGTGCTGATAACATAAAGGGTATTTCACCTGAAGCTTACAATTGGGTCATACAAAGTGGGCCAGAGCACTGGGCTAATGCATTCTCTGGAGGAGCCAGGTACAACCACATGACATCAAACTTTGGACAGCAGTTCTACAGCTGGGTATCAGAGGCACATGAGTTGCCAATTACACAGATGATTGATGTATTGCGAGGTAAGACGATGGAAGCCTTCTATTCACGCAGGGTGGAGTCCAACCAGTGGGTAACAAGATTAACTCCATCTAAAGAGGAAAAGCTTCAAAAAGAAACGACAATTGCTCAATCACTTCAGGTGTTGCTCTCACAAGGTAGCACATTCGAGGTTCGTGGAGAATCTGTTGATATTGTTGATATCGACCATTGGGATTGTAGCTGTAAGGGATGGCAACTTACAGGTCTGCCTTGCTGCCATGCTATTGCTGTCTTTGAATGCATTGGTAGGAACCCATATGATTACTGCTCCAGATACTTCACAGTCGAGAGTTACCGTTCAACTTATGCAGAATCAATTCATCCTGTTCCTAATGTAGACAGGCCACTCCCGGGTGAATCAAGCCTGGCAGCAGTTACTGTTACCCCTCCACCAACCAGACGGCCGCCAGGCCGGCCAAAGATGAAGCAGGCTGAATCATTAGACATAATAAAACGTCAGCTCCAGTGTAGCAAGTGCAAGGGGCTTGGCCACAATAAGAAGACGTGTAAAGATTCCTAGCATTATTGTTTAAGGACCTCGTTAAGTAGGGTGATTCAGCTTTTAACCTGTGTATATTTTGATATTTTTTATTGGCAGTTTAGGCTTTTGCTCTTGGAGCTTAAGGTAGTTTAGGATCTTTGTTTTGTTTTGTCAAACAAGCTTATTGATTTTCCAGTCACGCCATCATTTTAATAAAGGCATTTAATCTAGCTCTATGCCCTTTTAACTTGCATGAATTTTTGCGTATGAGAA